AATATATATATGCTATATAATAATATATGTAAGTTTTAATATATAAATTTGAAATTTATATATATTTATACATATATAATTGCACATATATGGACTGTTGTGTGTGTATGCTGATCAAGATGATTTATTATAGCTAGTTATATATACTTTGGCATTATTGTATTCATATACTAATATATATCACTAAGGCACGCATATTGAAAGATGGTTGCAAATATTGTTTAGCTATAAACTCTTATATACACAGATTGTGTATTAGTATTAAAGTCGTCACATATTTATATATAGCTTGCATTAAATGCGGATCAGTTACACATGTAGACTAACTACCGAGCAGTACATATTGCTTATAAGTTTACCAAATAAGGCAGTTGAGTTCTTTGTTTGCGTTGTTTGTCTTTTCTAATCGCACAATTCTTGTTGCACCATTCGCTTGAGTTCCTTTTGAAAGTCCGCTGATGTGAAGCTGCGATTTGCTCGAATGAATTTGTCCAGCAGCTGGGCCTGACAGCGGCCCACATTCATCATGGAGCGCCAATCGCTGGCGTATTTGGGCTTCTTTTGTTGCTGCAGTGGCGCATAGGCCGGAGGCAGTGGACAGCTGTAATGCTTCTCATTGGCCGACTGCGACTGCAGCGTGGAGCTGGCATACTCGCACATAAGGCACTCGAACTTATGAAACAGCGATAGCTCCGCTTTCTGCGGCTCAGCGTGATAGCGGCGCGTTAGCAGATGCTGCAAAAGCATCGAATTAGCAATGGGGTTAGCGCGATTCAGCTTGTGGCTGCGATACGTATCGTAGGCCGTTGCGTTCTCAGCCAAAAAGTGCAAATGGGCAGCCAGCGCGGAGGCATTGGCGAAATCACTCACATACACCGCGGAGTTGAGGTGCGGCTCCCAGTCCTAAACAAATGCAGAGTTTATATAGTTGCTATGAACAGATTATGGAATTTTGTAGGCTTTGGCAACATACGCGTATGCTGGGCGAACCAAAGTAAATGGGTATAATGCCAGCAATGAGTGGACGCCAATATTTCTCCGTAATGTAATCCTCGCAGACGCCATTCTCAATGGCAATCATGAATTTATACGGTGACAGGAAGCGCATCAATTCATCCGAATATAGATTGTTTAAATAGTCATTTTGTAGGCTGGAAGATAGGAATATAAGGCATATATATGTAGAATTTTGCAACTTCTGCTCACCTGGCAGGCAAATCCCGATTGTGTAGACATCCGCCGTATGAGTCCACCTGTATGTACTGCATTAGCTCCTGCACGTAATCCTCTCGCCCGGACATCGTATTGCAATCGGTTTGCAGAAAAACCACCGAGCCGATTTGATCATTAAACTGCAGCACCTGCTTATCCTCGAAGGAGCGAAAGAAATCCATCGAACTCAAATCGCTGGCATAGGGCAGATACTGTGTGGTCAGAGGTAAATTGCTGTGTCTGCTGAATGTGGACGTATAATTGAAATGCTGCAGGAATTCAGTGTAGGGCACAAATGGCACATTCCGTGGCGACTCCTCGTGCAGCAGACCCCATTGGTGATTTCGTTGCCGTGGCAGTGGATAGTCAAAGGTTTTCAAGTTGGAGCCATAGAAGAGAATGCCCTGTAAAAGAAGAACACACAAAATGTAATATAAAACCGGTAAAACTCTAATCGGGCGGCCCGACTAGAAAATAAAGAGAATGAGTTCAGGGTATAAAAACAACCAAAAAAGTTTTAATGTTTGTGTGGAAAATTCTTTGCGTTGCTTATTGTTTCGTTTTGCTCAATATATGTTGAGGTACTTAAAGCAATTTATCGTCATGATCAAAAAAAATCCTAATTACATACATATATGCACTTTAAGCCACGCCTCCCTCTACCCGTTACACACATTGGAACAAACTCATTATACCCCGATTTGCCATTTTTAGGGTATACAAAATAAAAATATGAAAAATAAAATCGGCGTTTAAATTTTTGTTTATCAGCTAAAAGCCGGATGCAAAGACATTGGCTCTCTTGCTCTCTCTCTCTCTCTCTCTCTCTCTCTCTTTGCCTATGCATTTCTTTCTCACCCTCGCTTCCTTCAGTTTTTTGTGATTGTTCGTAACATGACATGTCCGCGCTCCGCAGCGACGCAACTCGTTGTACGGCCAGGTCACATCGTTCGTCCACCAGAGCAGCAGCGGCACACCATCTCGGATGTCGTCCTTCTCGCGGTTGACAACATACCAATAGATGAGAGCCACGCTCCACAGCCAGAGGAAGCAGACGGTGAGGATCATCAATTGGCGTTTACGCCACAGTCGCATTGTGAATTTATCTAGGTAATTTATGTAGGAGACGTCCGAGTCGCATGCCACAAAATTTAAAGAACGCGCGCGCGAAAAACTGCCGAAAATTTTGCAGCAGCTCGTCTTCTTATTGTAACTGTTTCGTGCAGTGCTGCAAAACACTTGAAAGCAGTGGCAGAAAGTTACAATAGGTACGATGTGCACAATAAAACAAAACAGCAGGGCCAACTATGCTTCTACTAAATTCGGTTCAGTATTAAATAAGTGGAACGAATGTTAAATATTTTGTTATTTTAAGTATAATTGGCTTTGCCTGCTTTCTATTAAAATAATTTTTCAGTTTCACAGCGCAAATATTTTCAATTTGATATAACAGCACTTTTTGAACGTCGCAGATATTCGAAAATGTGACATCACACTTTCGATAGTCTCACGGTTACTTAACGACCGCCGTCTGTTACAATCAGCTGTTCTCTGCAGTGCTGTCAAACGCTGTTGGCTATACATCAGCTGCAGCACGTTACAATATGTATGATGTGCAATTGTGCCAACTAAGCAAGCAGTTGAAGAATATCTCGATTTACTCAAATGTGGCATATACATAATGTTTGAGGCATCGCAGCCGTCCTACACGCTCCGAAGTGAATAAAACTTGTCTAAGAGCGATGTTTACTCAACATGAAGATCTATATATACAGTTTGAATACATAAAATGAGAATTACAGGAAAATTCTATATGTCGTTTATAATAAAATGAAAAATCTATTTACTCAAACGCGTACTAAATACACTCACGGCCATCATACATGCTTGAACGTGCACTGCTCTGACCCGCAACTTTAAGCGCTGCTCAGCACTGGATCACGTCATCATAATATTGTTCCATTATACATTTTAAGCCCAAAACGAATCATCAACAGAAATCTTTTAAACTACAGAAACTATCCTCGTAGCAGCTTTTTAAATATCAAGTAAAACCACATTCAATGGCAAAGCGACAAAATGCAACGTAAAGAGTCGAATGCTGGACACAACGAGAGACAAAATCAAATATTGACATAACACGTCAACATTTGCGGCGAGATTTCGGCAATAAAAAAGGAGAACAAAAAAAGGAATATAACTAAATATATACATCTATGTATATATGTATGTAAATGTATAGAAAACATTAAAATTGGGTCCAAGCTGGAATAAGCATGTGTTATGGCCACAGCTCAGTACAATACAACAACAACAGCAGCAGCAACAACAACATCGGCAATAACAGCTGCAACAACTGCAACAACAACAACAACAGCGGCTGAACATGTTGAACGCAAACATTCTGTTGCCTCGAATTCGAATTCAAATTCGAATTTCAATTTGCCTGGCGTAAATGGACCCAGCTGGCAGAACTGTTATTACTGCACACGCGAGCATTTCAAGAGCGTGGCAGAGTTTATCAAGTGAGTGAAGCTGAAATATCCTTTATACTACTCTCCACATGCTCACTCTTCCTCCCTCTCCCTCACACAGCCATCTGCGCACTCGCCATTGCACGCGTGAAGGCGGCTCATTTGTGTGCCGCTATGGCTTCAATGGCGTCTGCGCCTCGCTCCCACTAGATGGCGTCTCGGATCGTGACTATGATGCCCATGTGGCCAAATATCATGTGAATCAGCAGACGCGTGAGCTGCCGCCTGAATGGGGCGTCTATTCGGCGGCACAGAATCTGCCCGCTGTCCTCAATGATCCGCAGCGCGGCAAGCAGAGCAATTTGTTTACCAAAAAATGGGGCGAACACTTTGTGGATCGTGTCCAAATACCGTGCAATCCTCGGCTGCCGGACATCACGCATGCGGATTTCGCTGTCTATGTGGGCAGCATTGGGAAACGCTATCGCTGGCACGAGAGGCGCCAGCAGCAACAGCAACAGCAGCAACAACAATTGCCTTCCACGACCACGCCGGAACACTTGGGTCCTGTGCCCGTGCCGGAGATATTCCTGAAATCCCAGCTGCAGCTGCATCATCCGGCCACCTTTGCACAGGTCTTTCCCGGCTACATGCAAAGCGCTAAAGACGGCGCCGGCTCGCCAGTGGAACGCCAGCAGCTCGGACGGCAGCTGCAGGAACAGCTCTCCCACTACCTGGATATAGTGGAGGTGCGCATTGCCCAGCAGGTAGCCCAGAAATCAGCTGCTTTCTTTCATGCCATGACCACACAGCATGCGATCCTGGCGGAAATGCAGCAGGCGGCGGAGCAAGTGCGTCAACTGCGCTCGGCGCTGGCTCAGCTCCATGGCAGCGCCGTCACGGACAGCTTCCGGGTGATGCGATATGCCCAGCGCCGGCAACACTATCAGACGACGCTGGACAAGCTTCGGCTCATGGCCACCGTGCACAAGACGCAGCCCATGCTGCAGTTGCTCCTGGGCACACAGGATTATGTGGCTGCCTTAGATTTGATTAGCACCACACAGGAGATTCTCGCAGCCGAGCTGCTGGGCGTCCACTGCTTCAAGCATCTGCCCATGCAGCTGGGCGAAATGGAGAAGCTAATTGATAAAATGCTGACCACGGAATTCGAACGTTATGCGGCCAACGATCTGAATCGTCCGCTGTCCGATGCGGATCTGGAGTCGGACAGCGTCTGTGCCGAGGAGGACAAACTGGTGGCCATTGTGATGGGCCTGTTGCGCAAGCAGAACTTCAGCTTCGTGCAGAGCTATCAGCAGGAGGCGATCGCCACGATTCGGGCAATCATTAAGCAGCTGCTCATTGAGCTCCTCTCTCGTGGGGATCAGGAGCTGTGTCTGACTGGAGCGGGCGAGCAGGCCCTTGACTTGACCCTGCCCGAGTGGCTGGCCATGCTGCAGCGAGCCAGCCACGCCCTGATTGCTGTGCTGGAGCGGATCAAGGCGGTGGTTTCGATTATGCAGCAAACGGCCGATGCTGCCGCCGGTGGCCTCGATCCGCACGAGCATGCCGTTAACCTCATCGACGCCGACGCCTTTCTCAGTGCTGCACACCATGAGCAGCTGAGCGCGCAGCTCCAGCAGCTGCTCCAGGCCGTCTGTCACTATTGCCACGAGCGTTGCGCCAATATTGTCTCACCACAAAGCCTGGAGCGCTGCGTGGCCACGGAGCAGGAGCTGCTGCAGCTGTCCCAGGTGGTACAGGAGTTTGGCGATGCCACACTCAGCATTTGTGGGGCGGCGAGTGTGCCGCTCCAGCTGGCGTTGAAGGTGCAGGCCTCGCGGTACGCACAACGCTTCCATGCGGAGCGCAAACAAAAGTTGGCTCTGCTGCTGGATCAGGAGCGCTGGCGTCAGGTGGACATACCACATGAGTTCCAGCGGATCATTGAGAGAATGTCCGCGGGCGACTACTCCAAGCAGGCGCCTCTGGATGGCAGCAGCCACATCACGGGCATCGGCGGCATCGTGGCCGGCAATCCGGTGCTCCTCGTCGAGGGCAAACAGCCCTTTGCTTTGGTCAGCGTGGCGCTGCTCCTCATCCAGATGCTGTACGAGTATGGGGGCAGTGCTCAACGTCTGCCCCTGCTCGCCGGCTATCACTCCCGGAACGTGATAGATCTCTTGCGCTGCTTCAATTCGCGCAGCTGCCAGCTGATCATTGGCGCCGGAGCGATGCGCGTGGCCGGACTGAAGACGATCACGAGCACGAATCTGGCGCTGGTGTCGCGGGCGCTCCAGCTGGTGCTCTACTTGCTGCCACGGCTGCGGGAGCATTTCGAGAGCATGAGCGGGTATGAGGCGATCGAGCGGGACTATCAGGGTCATATCAAGGAGATCGAGCATAAGATCCATGGCATCGTATCGGAACGGATTGCGGCACAGCTGGAGGCATGGGATGCTCGGCCGCCGATTCCATCGCAAACATTTCGTCATATTTCCAGGCATTTGGTCAAGCTGCATGAGGCGATCGCTGGTGTGCTGCCGGAGGCACAGATCCATGAGATCTATGGTGTGGTGCATCGCAATTTCAAGGACAAGCTGCGGGAGCAGCTGCTCAAGCTGAATGTCTACAACAATGGGGGGCCGCAGCATGGAGTTGTTACCTCGGAGCTGACCTTCTACATGGAGACGTTGCGCACGCTCAAGGCGCTGCCCGCCGATCAGCTCGATAACGGTATACTCGAGCACATCTGGGTGTATTGAGAGCCTATTGAGGGCGTGGCACTATGACCGATTGCTGTCGGATTTATGAAATCTATAGCAATTCAACGATCGATCAGTTCCGTTCCGTTAGTCTCTATTTTATTGTCCTGTTTTTGTTGTGTAATCGTCTTTGTTTTTATTTATATAAGCATTTAACCTCTTGTAATATTTCCAGTATCTGAAAATTTTTGTATTTTTGCAAGTGTATATTTATGCAAATCCTTAAGTTAAAGACCAGAGGATGAAGAACTCCCTCTAAACTAATTAATTTAGCGAAACGTTTTGTTTGCTGATTTAAGCGGAGTCCATGAACCTAAACAAATACAAATTATATAAATAATATGAGAAATTTATATGTTTTAATTAATGGATAATTGAATTTAGATAATGGAATATATAAATTCTATTCCCATTGAACTGGAATCAAAAGGAAATAGCTAAGGATATAAATCATATAGCAATTTCTGATCTACTAGACTACTGGTCTACTAAAAAAAAAAATATATATATATATATATATTTAAATTACTGCATTAGTGTATGTAATATTTTTTATATCTCCTTGGGCTTTCACTAAAATAGAATCCAATAGTGCTTGAATAGTTGGGCATAATATTTCTACTACAAATTTTAGATCAAGTTATAATAAAACAGCAGTTTCAGTTGGGAATATTGTGGTCCGAGATTAATAAAAGCGGGAATCCTAATTGGTGGTACTGGATAAGGCGATATAGCCTCGACATACAAGATATATAATTCGATGTTTACGATAAATATCCAAGATAAGGTTGGTTTTTTTTTATCTATCAGCCAAGGGATGTTTATAAATCTTAATGTAATTAAAAACAAGACTCATTTTTTTAGAGCTTATTTCAGTTTAGTTAAATTTTAATTAATAGAAATTACAAATTAAATGTTTTTTTTCAATAAACATTTTTCCGCACTGAAATCAAATGAAACTAATTAAAACTAATTAATTTTTTTATTCTTGTTAATAATGAATAATAATAAATTTCAATTATTATTACATAAATGTATTTTTTTTTGTCAAAATGAAGCACTATATCGTAGAACAGAAATATTTCATACAGCTAACAACTTTTTTTCGTCTTTCATAGCTTAAATATAGAAATTGTGACTAAAACAAAATGTACTCTAACTTTTTTTATGAAGTTGTTCCTAAAGCTCCCACTCGAAGTCTGTGAAATATAAATAAGATGGTTTTTTTGGATTGAATATATCATCTTTAGGCTGTTCGATTTCATTCGATTTATATTTTATTTTTTTTTAGGCTATATCGTCAGCATCAAGGTCGGGATGATTAGGGATATCTTCCACAACTTCCTCATCCATTTCCAATGTGTTCAGTAATTTAGATATGAGCTCCTCATTGAGCATGGGTTCGAAATTCTTAAATGTGATGGCTGAAAGATAGAGAGAGAAGAGAACAGATAAGGGAAATGGAAGAAAGAAGCAGTAATATTAGACAGTGAAAGTGTATTTAAAAGAAAAAAGAAACGGAGAAGAGTCGTGGAAGACAGAGATGAAAGATAAGATAATATAATAGAGCAGCCACGAAGAAAATATAAGAACAGAGAAGACAAGAAAATTATAATGTATGAGAAGAAAAGAAAAGAACATTATAAGGAAAGTCAAGAACGGAAATGAGAAAAGAAGGAACAAAATTAGAAAAATTGAGATACAGAAGATATAAGAAAGATAACGAAAATCAATGAAACAAGTAACAAGCACAGAGAAGAGAGTGAAACTGTGTAAAACAGAAGGGAGCATAAAGAAAGGGACGAAAAGGCACAAGAATAGGGCAATAAAATATTTTAAACAAAGTAAAAACTCACGTTTCTGGCAATTATTTAAGCATTTCGCTGAGGGAAAATCCATGTAGTCGAATAAATCGAAATCATTCGTGGAGTCGGCGCTTTTTGCATAAAGATCGTTCGCCACATTCGGCACAGACTGCGGCGCCTTGAACTGCGCCTCCAGCAGCTGCTGGGACGCCGATGCCTTTTGGGGCAGCTTCCGATGCTGTTTCTGCAGCGTTTCTTTGCAAAGGGAAATTTTTGGCGCGCAGCTAGCGGGAAATTTCGTGTTGGCGCCTTTGAAGGGCGTCAGATGCGGTTTATTGTTTAACATGTTGTCCAGTTTGCCGAGCACGCTCTTTTTGGCGGACTGCTGCAGTGGATTGTCGCCCATGGCCTTGCGCGCTGATCGGGGCAGCACTAAAAAAATATAAATTATCAAGTTAAGGCGCAAAAATAAAAACACTTGATCATTTCCGCGGGTTTTTTCCTCACTTACTGTGTGCACCCGCATTTTCGTTGTCCATCCAGATTTGAGCCATTCCGTATACAGTATAGTTTGCTGTTTAAATTAGCAAGACATGCGTTTTGTTTGTATATTTTTAATAAATTTTATTTATAACGACGCCAAGCTGCTCAAATTTACTGTTTCATATAAAAACAGAGTTGCTTGACCAGTACAATGTGACCGTAGTTGGCTATGTAGAAAATACCCAAGATTTTATACAACATGTTCCACCATTTGTCGTATAAATATCCCACAATTAACTAATTTTACACTTATTTAAGTATTTTAAGAATTGTTAATTAAATTTTACAACAAAATATAATATCAGTTTCTCTCATTATCATAAAAATTAAACATAAAAATTGCCCGCCTTAGCAATGTTTATTAACATTAGAGCGGCATTACATGCTGTTGTACTCAAAAAGGCAAATGTTTACTAACATAAAATGAGGGTAAACTGTTTATGTTCTGGTCGCGCTCTTGAGTTCAAAAAAGACCATTGGACGGGTAGGTCGTGCGTCGGGTGCGTAGTAAAATCTCGGGAAAAGCCGTTGATGATTCGTCGTTGCGTCGCGCGTGTTTCTGTGTTTGTGCGTGTTTTTGGATTAACAAATTAACAAGATTAAAAAATCCAATAACATAAATATGCGGCGGCAATTGTAGCGATTCGTGTGCTTGCGATTAAACCAATAAATAATACACAAAATCGCAACAGCCGAACGTGTGTGTGAGTGCCAATTGCAAGACAAAATGGCTGCATTTCAACGCATTTAATGCGCGCACAAAAACAACAACATAAGAGAACAACATACACAAAGCACAAGCAAACATGTAAGTATGCTCGGCTCTGTATGTGTGTGTGTATGACTGAGTGAATATGCGTGCTTGTGTGTGTAACAGGCAATGAGTAACGCGGCATAACAATATTTAATTAGCACCACAAAACTGTGAAATGTAAATCTTTTTAGAATAATGCAAATATCTAAAATCACACCCAAATATGTGAAAATATAAATACAAAAGTGTTTGTTTATAACGGCTGCTGTTTGTTTGAACAGAGACTTGTTTGTACCGCAGAAAAAAATCAAAAATATTAACATAAATTGTTATTGCGTTCCAATGAGTATTTGTTTTATTTCGTTTAAATTTGTTATAGTTCGGAGTTTTATTTTAAAATATGCCATTTGTTTATGCCGCAGCAACAATAACAAAATAAACGCGCACAATCAACAATAACATAAAATTTCTATGCAATTGCAATGAGTGTGCGCTCTCTTTTGATTAACTTCACTCTTTCTCTCTCTCATTCTGTCTTGGCGTCTCTCAATTGTGCGCGTACTCAATTGGTTCTGTTGAGTGAGTTTTGTTTTGAGTAATGTTTGTGAGTGATTTATTTTCTAGTTTATGTGTTTTTTATTTTAGTATAGAAGATGGTGGTGTTAGTAATATATTATTTTAGCTGAAGACATTAAGAAACATTAAACCAACCGCTATTAATTGTAAACATAAATTCAGATATTTGACTATGTGTGTTTGTACGTGTGTGTGACTTAGTTCACCACTCAATACTTATATTGTCTATCTCTCTTACGCCGACGACTTGAGACCGCCAAGAACTCGAAAGACACTCACGCAAGCAACAGCTGCTGCATTCACATTGCTCCCCACTTACCTCTTTCTTATCTTCTTATTTTACAGCTCTGCTACAAAACCGCAAAAACATCACCAACAACAACAACAGCAACAACTTTGTTGAGAATTTAAAACTGTAAATTTCGTTTCGAACGCGTTGCGGTGTTTTTTCTCTTCTCGGTTTTTCGTTTTCTTTTTCATTGATTTTTACGGGCAAAAATTAAAAAAGAGGAGGAAAATATAATAATAATAGCAAAAAAAGTGAAAAGTGATGTATAAAAAGCATAAATCATTACATATAAAATTGTTGCAATATACGTGACGGGTGTTCAAATAAGATCGCATTAAATAAAGAATCATATAACCCAAATAA